CGGCCCGGGGGGGGGCGGGGGAGGGGCGGGGGGGCCGCGCGCGCCCACCGGAGGGAACGGGGCCGCGGCGGTTTCGAGGTGCCCCCGCACCGGGGCAGGGGCGGGGCCGCGGCCGTGATTGCGCTACGGGCGCGCGGGGGGCGGAGCCGGGGGGAGCCTTGAAACGGGCACCGGGCGCTGATTGGCTGGGAATGGAGGGGGCGTGGCCCGGCCATGTTTACATCGCGCCGAGCCCGGTGAGGGGCGGGGCGGGTCATTAAGCCACGCCCCCACGTAGTGGGCGGGGCGTTCTTAGGCCACGCCCACAAATGGGCGTGGCCTGGGCGGGGCTTCCTTCAACCCCTTCTCCCCCCTCAATATTGTGAAATTCATTTTGTTTAATAACACGGAGAATCCCTTTCCCCCCATATTTGTAAGAGGGAACCCCAAATTTCTCCAGTTTCAACCCCCAATTCCTTCTTTTTCATCGCAGTTCCACCTAATTCACCTCAAATTCCTCCCGCTTCATACAAAATCCTTTGTTTTCCCCAAAATTCCTGGTCCCCCCAGAATAAGTCCCGCCTATTTCACTGCAAAACTCCTCGTCTTTCACCCCGATTTCTTCCTTTTTCACCCAAATTCCTCCGATTTCCCCACAGTTTTTTCACAAAGAAATTTTTTTCCTTGGGTTTTGGGGTTATTTTTAAAGGAAAATCTGTAAGAAAAGAGGAGTCCCCTGACATCCGCCGCCAAATTCTGGTGCATTTAATTCCTCTTTGATTACTGAACGAAACTCGTCCCGGGGCAACGCCCGACCCAGTTCCAGGGATAAATGGGACAAACTGGGAATTTGCCGCCCGGGGCGGGGAGCGGGGCCAGCGGCGTCCGGGCGTTCCCTGGCGGAGCTTCCAGCGGGCAAACTGGGAACGGACTGGGACGGGACTGGGTGGTGCTGGGAGCGGAATGGGGGCGGACTGGGGGTGGACTGGAACTGGACTGAACTGGGACTGATCTGGGGCAGGACTGGGGCTGGACTGGGACTGAACTGGGACTGAACTGGGGCTGGACTGGACTGAACTAGGACTGAACTGGGATTGAACTGGGGCAGGACTGGGACTGAACTGGGGCAGGACTGGGGCTGGACTGGACTGAGCTGGGAATGAACTGGGACTGGACTAGGACTGAACTGGGGCAGGACTGGGACTGAACTGGGACAGAACTGGGACTGAACCGGGGCAGGACTGAACTGGGACTGATCTGGGACTGAACTGGGACTCAACTGGGACTGAACTGGGACTGAACCGGGGCAGGACTGGGACTGAACTGGGACTGAACTGGGACTGAACTGGGGCAGGACTGGGGCAGGACTGGGACTGAACTGGGGCAGGACTGGGACTGAACTGGGACTGAACTGGGTTTGAACTGGGACTGAACAGGCCCCGCCCCCTTCCCGCCAACATCCGGGTACCGCGAGCGCGGCCCCGCCCACCCCCTGCATCCCCATTGGCTGTGGTGTGTGACGTCACCGGCGGGCGGCGCGCGCCGCCATTTCCCGGGGAATCCCAAAAAATCCCCCCCAGCTCCGCCCCGTCCCTGCCCCGGAGCCCCCCGGGGGTGTCCCCAGCGTGTCCCTGCTCGGGGGGCGACAGCGACCCCGCGACCCCCGAGCCCAAACGGAGCAGCTTTGGGTCTCCACCAAAAATCAACCCCGAGGCTCCAATTTCCCGCGAAACCCAAATGGCTCCAGGTCAGCACCCCGGACCTGTCCAGTGCCACCAGGATGGGAAACTGGGAATAGAGGGAATTCCGTGGGAAAAGGGACTGGGCAGCGTCATTTTTATTTCTAAAACAGGCTGGAAAGGAAGAAGGAAATTCCCGGCGCTCCGCTGCGTTTTTCGGGAATTGCTGTCCTTGAACCCTTCTGAGGGCGGATTTGGAGCTCTGGAAGCGCCCAAAACTCCTGGAAATGCTGGGAAATGTCTCTGTCCCCACGTGTCAAGCCTGGCCCCAGGCCAGAGCCTGGCAGCAAATCCGGCTTTTACTGGGAATTCTGGGAACAGCCTGGAATAGCCCCAAATTATGGAAAACCGCCAAGGAGCAAAATCGAACTGGAGTGATCGGAAATCCAGGAAATATCCAGGGATTCTTCCCGGAGCCGCAATTTGGGGGAAATGGGGAAAAGCTTTGAGGGGTCCAGAGCTGTCCCTGGCCCCGGCGGCTCCTCCCGGTCCCGCTGTCCCCGGTGCCGGCTCCGCTCTGCTCCTGCCACACGCCCGGGGCTCCGTGCGGGGCTCCCGGGGCACCGAGGGGTCCCGGGGTCAGTCCCACAGCTCCGGGGGTCCCGGGGTCAGTCCCACAGCTCCGGGGGTCCCGGGGTCTGTCCCACAGCTCCGGGGGTCCTGGGGCACCGAGGGGTCAGTCCCACAGCTCCGGGGGTCCTGGGGGGGTCCCGGGGTCAGTCCCACAGCTCCGGGGGTCCCGGGGTCTGTCCCACAGCTCCGGGGGTCCTGGGGGTCCCGGGGTCTGTCCCACCGCTCCGGGGGTCCCGGGGTCAGTCCCACCGCTCCGGGGGTCCTGGGGGTCCGCTCCGCTCCTGGGGTCATCTGGGGGGGTCCCGGGGGGGGTCCTGGGGTCAGTCCCACAGCTCCGGGGTCCTGGGGGGGTCCCGGGGTCTGTCCCACCTCTCCGGGGGTCCTGGGGGGGTCCTGGGGGTCCGCTCCGCTCCTGGGGTCACCTGGGGACGGACGGGTCGGAATCGACGTGGCCGAGGAGGAAGAGCTCGGGGTGGGCGGCGAAGCCCGGGCGGCCCTGGGGAGGGGAAGGCAACAATTAATGCCCGGGGGATTTAATGAGCCCGAGCTGAGCCTGGGTTAACGAAGCCTGAGCCAAAGAGAGTTTAACTAAACCCAAGTTGGTTTAAGGAAGGTTTAAGGAAGCCTGAGCCAAAGAGAGTTTAACTAAACCCAAGTTGGTTTCAGGAAGGTTTAAGGAAGCCTGAGCCAAAGAGAGTTTAACTAAACCCAAGTTGGTTTCAGGAAGGTTTAAGGAAGCCCAAATGAAGTTCAGGTAACAAAGATGAAATGGAAGCTGGTTTAACAAAGCCACCATTTAATGAAGCCCAAACTGAGTCGGGTTTAACAAAGAGCAAGTTGAGACGGGTTTAATGAAGCTCAAATTGAGGACGGTTTAACGAAGCCTGAATTAAGCCTGGTTTAATGAAGCCGGTGTTGAGCAAGGCAGGATTTTGATGAAACCAGAGCTGATCCCGGGTTAAGAAAGCCTCAGTCGAGCCCAGCTTAACGAAGCCCGGGTGGGTGCCGAGGTGGCAGCACCGGCCACGGCCCCAGAGTCACCGCCTGCCCATTAATTAGCAGTGGCCATTAATTAGCAGTGGCCAGAAGGAATGGGGTTAACCGGGAGCGGATCCCAGCCCAGCCCCACCCAGGGCTCCGAGAGGCCCCTCCTCCTGCAGCCCCAATTAACTGCTCCAGCTCAATTAAATTCGGGCCATGGAAGAGCCTTAATTAGCAATGACTGCGCAGGCTGCTTAATTACAAGACGACACTGCAAATCCTCCAGTGTTAAACTAAGCCAGAGCTGAGGCTCCGGAGGGGCAAAAGCAGGGGAAATAATCCTAATTTCAGGTTTTTTGGCGCAGCTGGTGGATGAAGCAGGACAGGAGGGATGTGCTGATCCCACTGCAGGAATTCCAAGGGGAAGGCGCTGCAGGGTGAGGGAGCCCCGGCTCTCCTGGTGATGGCACGGGCACAGCAGGAGCCTGGGAGTGAATCCCACGGGACAGGGACACGCCCCGGCTCACCCTGATGCCGTTCTGACTTTTGCCTTTGTTATGTTCTCTGTGTTCTTTGCACGTACATTTGGAGCTCTGGAGTATATTGCATTAATAACTACTTTTCCCAGTATTTTTCCATGGCCTTTCCCTAGGCAGAAAGACAAAATTCCAGAGCTCCAAGCCCTGGGAACAACTCT